GAGGCACGGGAGGATATGGATAAGTACATGCAGATTGCTTCCTGGTGTCTGGCTGCTGAGGTAGGAGGTGGCTCCCTCATATGTATTTAGACTTATTGAGGCACAGGAGGATATGGATAAGTACATGCAGATTGCTTCCTGGTGTCTGAGAGAAATTCCACTCAAGATGTTGCTTCCTCCATGAAGCACTGACACATCTGGCTGCAGGGTGATCATCTCTGCATTTTCTCTGCAGAAGGAAAAGGAAGGAAACAGTGGTCTGTCACCTTTTGACACTTTAGTGGCCTCTGGAGTTTCAACCCAACCTGCTTGCTGGAGTTAGTCCTGTCCTGGGCAAACTAAAGGATTCGCTTTTGATAATGTTGTGAAAATTTGAAAGTCTAATTCTTTTTTTATTTCCAATACAGAGTTGGGTTATCTCTTTTATATTGGTTGGGATTGGGTTCAGCTTCCTGTAAAAGAATGCCAAAGTCATAGTGGCTTAAACAACATGGAACTGTATTGCTCTCATCTCCAGTGCATCAAAGTGGACAGTTCCCAGAGACATGGGCGCCTTCCACCTGTGTGTTCCTCAGACCGACATATGGCCTCTGTTCTCCAGGTCACTCAGTCAATGGGGGATGGAGCAGGAAGAAGGAAGTGGAGGGGAAAATGGATATTCCCCAGTGGAATCAGCTCCCGAGAAAAAGTCATCTGCCTTAAGCCCCACCCTCCTGCTCACCATCTCACTGGCCAGATCTTTAGTTGCATGATCAGACCTATCCACAAGAGAGACTAGAAATTGTCATCTTTTAGCTGGACATATTGCTGTCACCCCAAATTAAATTTGTTTCTAAGAGAGAAGAGAGAGTAGATATTAGGTAAAGAACTAGTAGAGTCTGCCACGTGTGCCATCCAAAACTTTCTATATTATTTGAAATAAAAAGAAATTGAATAAACATGTTCAGGAACTCATTCAGTACCCAATAAAGTAACTGGAAAAGTCCTGGGCAGCAGAATAGCAGAAAAGGAGAAGTGAAATTCTCCAAGGGAATATTAAGAAATTAGCTGAGCCTATATCAAGGCATTTATTTTTTTCAACTCATATTTTTAGATGCTGATTATCACTAGAAGCTATTCTACACAAATGAGTCAGATGAGATAAATCTCCCAAGAGATTTATCTTATCTTCAGCCTATAAATGAGCCTCAAGGAATATGGCTTTGCTAAAATGATTGTGCAACTGACTTTAAATTGACGTTCTTCTCATGTTTAGATACAAAGTCATGGAGTTTTAAAATGGAAAAGATCTCAGTCATTCGATTGTACGTTAAATGATTCTCAAGTGTTTATGATACTAATTTATCAAGAGGCAGTTTACACCACTGGTTAAGAGGAGGATTCTATATCCATCCTAAGTATGCACTAAAAAAAAATAAATAAATAAGAAAAACAAAAAGAGAGTGATTCTAAAGGCATAATGCCTGGGTTCAAATTTTGGTTCTGCCACTTGCTACGATTAAACTCTCTAAGCCTTTGTTTCCCAGTCTGAAAAATGGGAGAAAATACCTACCTCATGGGGTTGCAGGTAACTATTCAAATTAAATGAGATAATGTGTACAAAGGACTCAGAATGGTGGCTTGCACGTAATGCTACACGTGTTTACACCCACGTTTAATTATTTTTTACTGTGTCAGGCCCTGTGCTAAGCACCACACCTTAGAGATAAGCTAGAGATGAACTTTGCTTTAAAGATGATGAAATTTAAGTCAGTGTGCCAGGCGATTGCCTGTCTTCTCCCTTTGGAACTGCATGTCCCAGGCTCCCATGCCAGCTGGCTCCCTGTGAGTCAAGGTGGGGAGCCCAGTGGGAGGCACTGGGTTAAGAGCAGGAGGAAGAGAGAAGCCCAGTGGGAAACCAGTAGCTGGCAGGGTCCCTGCTCCTGTGGGATCACCAGTTGAGCCCCATTTCCCCCTGGTGCTGACTCCCTCAGCTTCTGGACCTTACTAACAGCTGTGTCCCCATCATCCCTCCAGCCTAGCATTGGCAGCTCTTTCTGCCCTGGCTAATCTCTGGATTGGCCCTTCACCTGCTCTTTGGTTGGCTTCTCAGCTTTCCCATCAACAGTATAACCAACTTTCTGTATGAATTTCCATCTGTTTGAAAATCCTGGAGAGGTCTCTGTCCTCATGGATGAATGCTAATTGACAAAGCAAGACAGGTCATCTTTCTGGCCTACTTTTCTTACCCTCTGGATACAGGGCTGCAACCACTTTGTCTCATGAGGCACTTTCTGGTCACAATTCACACATCCTAGAAAAGCTAAATGATTTGCTCAGAGTCATACAGCCCATCAGTGATCCACTGAGAACTTGAACCCAGATCTAAATAGGAAGGCATCATCACAGCACTGTGTTTTTCCCTTTAAATCTTGAAGTCCAGGATGTTGATATACATCCCAATTCTCTACAATTGTCCTCCCCAGTATAAGAAGCCTTCCCCGCCTTCTGGATATTATTTTTCTGAACCCAGTTTAATATGTTGTTTTTAGGACTACTGAGCCACACCAGTAATCCCAGCTACTTGGGAAGATGAGCCGGAAGATCACTTAAGCCTAGGAATTTGAGTCCAACCTGGCCAATATAGCAAGACCCCATCTTTTTAAATAAATAAATAATTTTTTTAAAAAATAGAACTACTGAGGCTTCTGCACTATAACCGAAAGGGTTCACTTAAGCCACATAAGTGTCTAGGTAGGTTGAAACTTAGCGGCTATCTACATAGAGCACTCCTATTTTATGTGTATGCTTAATGTGATAAAGCGATTGATGCTGTAAATCATACCACTGTACCACTGATTTGAACTTGGATATTCCCTTATCTTTGGATTTTCTGTTTTCCTGCCTTGGATTCAGGAGAACTAATATGGGCTAGCAGTGCTCCTGTTTGCATTCCGGGCAGCCACTATCCTGTGCTTACATCAGCAACCCTGAACATTTAGCTGTAATGATTATTGCTTAACATTTATTGAGGCCTGTCAGTGGGCTAAATGCAGAGAGATGGGGGATGAGGCACTTATCCTAATGAGTTGCAATGTGGATCACATCAGCTTAATTCACTGCAAACAGCTTTTAGAGAAAATGGAATAGAAAGCTCTGCGGTGTTTTGTACTAGCCTGGTTATTTACAAGCCCTCACAAGAAAAGTAAGAAAGTGTCACTTCCTTTCTCCCTTAAGAGAAAACTTTCTTCTCCAGAATTTTCTAGACTATTCCAGCAACAATGCACCCTTCTAGCTAGGTAGGCCTGATCCTGTGACCCTCCCGCAGTTTAAAACCATCAGAGACTTTGCATCTTTTCAGGACGAAGTCCTAAACTGGATAAACAGAGCACTCACAGTGTGGTCTGGCCTCAACTTCCCATTCTCAGCTTCCCTACCCCCACCCCCTTCAGCAGTTCCTTAAATATCTCTCAGTTCTTTGGTAAACCCATACTTTTTCACTCGATGACATCTTTGCCCTTGTTATTATTTTAGATTCATTCTGTCATGTGCTAGGTGGATTTCTCTAATTTTTTAAGAACCAACTCAGAACTCACCTTCTACATGGAGCTCCCCAATCCCTGCAGGAAGTTTCCTACTACTCATAGTAAGAGTAGCTCTACCTTGCTGAGCCACCTCCTATGATGCTGCACACTTCCCTTTCCAGAGCATTGCTGGGGAGGGGTTTTATCCCCAATTTATAGATGAAGAAATTGAGACAGAGAGATTATCTCACCTACCTAAGGCCAAGAGCTAGCATCAACCAAGCAAATTCTATGGAATCCCAGAACACCTCAACCTCCTGGACCCTTCATGCGTCTGCAATGGCCTTATAAACTCTAGCACAGCACTACTCATGGGGCTCCCAAACAACGAGTTTGCCAATTTCTCTTCCCACATAAACTGTAAGCTCATCCCCTCCCCACTCCACCCCCCACACCCTGACTTCAGCACCTTGCTTTATCCTCTTTCCTCTCTAGGATCTGGAATACAATAGATGATTTCTTTTTCTTTTCCCCATGATTTTATTTATTTATTTCTTTATTCTTAATTTATGGCTTTAAGTTCATTGAGGGTACAAAGAATTTGGTTACACCATTTGCATTTGTTAAGTAAAGTGCCTCTTATAATAGTGTCCCACCCCCAAGACATATGCCATACACCATAATTCTCCATCCTTTTCCTTGTCCCCTTCCCCCAGTCCCTCATTCCCCTGGCCCCCACCTTGAATTGATTTGGGTTTTTCACTTATGTGGGTATGTATTGGATCATCTACTGGCTTCATATTAGATTGAGTACATTGGAGTCTTGCTTCTCCATTCTTGTGATACTTTACTAAGAAGAATGCATTCTAATTCTATCCAGGTTAATACAAAAGATGTAAAGTCTCCATCCTTTTTAGGGGCTGAATAGTATTCCATGATATACATAGACCACAGCTTATTAATCCATTCCTGGATTGGTAGGCATTTAAGTTGTTTCCATATTTTGGCAATTGTAAATTGAGCTGCAATAAACAGTCTAGTGCAAATGTCCTTATAATAAAATGATTTTTTTTTCATCTAGGTAGATGTCTAGGAATGGGATTACAGGATCAAATGAGAGGTCAATAAATGATTTCCAAATTATTAGTTATTATTATTAATTCTGCATTCATTTCTGGTTCCTTCATGTAACTCTGGAAACCTTTCTTGCCCTTTTATTCTAGGATAATGGTCCTAGATTCTTTCCCCACAAATTGGACTTTCTGGAGGTGCCTGCAGCACAAAAGCAGCTTTGGGCTGTCCTTGAAAACAGAATAAAATACCAGCATAGAACAAAGTTGAACTCTCCTGCATCTCCTAAGTCACTGCTGCAGCCCTTTTCTGCCCACGTCTTCCATCCTAACTACATTGCTTAGAGAGGCAGAATACTAAGCGTTATAGGGTAGGACAGCTCTGGCTTGGAGTCTAGGCTCTGTTACTTCCCACCACGTGACCTTGAACACTTTTAGAACTCCTCGAAGTCACGGGGTCCTCCCGGGGTCCATTTGTAAAATGGAGTTGATAAAAAAGTCTACCTCACAAGAAAAAGTGGTGGTCAGGATTAAATAAGACGAGGCCTGCAGCATTTAGCCCATGTCCTGTCGATAGTAAGTGCTCAATAAACCTAATTTATAATTATCATTATCCAACTTCTTGCTTTTGAAATTTCTGTTCAAATGTTCACGGATAATTAAGGTCTGAGCTAATATGGGTTTTAATGTAATAGCACCCAAAAAAGTTTTCTTTATAAATAATGGCTCCTGAAGTTATTTTCAACTTCAAAGTTCAAAAAATGACAAAATATCCACCAGGGAGACTGGAGATTTTGCCCCATCTCCATCCACTGACAGTGCTGAGAAGGTGGCTGCTCCTACACAGATGATCCACCAGGAGGTTCACTTAAGCAGATGGAAAATGGGTCTTGACGAATGCTGTTTTTCTCTCTTTCATTTTTTTTTTTCATGCTAAAGACTACTTTGCCCAAACAGAAGACTCCTAAACTCTAGGCGCATTCCTGTAGCAATTCTAATTCCATTGTACCAGACTACTAGGCAAAAGACCAAATTACCTTTTTTTCCTAATCTTTATTGCATTCTTTACCTTGTAAATGCCCTTCTTTTGTTCTCCAACTTAATCTTCATGACAACTGGAAAAAAAAGATACAATTATTTTCACCACTTTATATATGAAGAGGTTGAGGTGTAGAGAGGTTTTGTTACTCGCCCGAGGTCATACAGCTAAAAAGTGGGGAAGCAGGGAATTGAGCCTAATCCTATCTGACCCCAGAGCCTAACCTCCTGGTTGTTACACTATTCAGTCAACTTCTGTCATAAACTTAAATAACTTCGGTGTACACGCCTCTATTTTCAGATATATCTGGAGCATCTGTCTTTTGTAATCAGTAGTATGTTGATGAACGTTTAACCACTAAACGTGGTCTCTAGGAGAAAAATCAGTATTAGAAGGTGTAAGTCCTCCTTCTATGCCTGATCTCATGACACTCGTGTCATGTCAGACAGCTCAAGAATTCCTGAAAATGTAACCATTAGCTGGTCACTCTGCACCCAGCCACCACGGCTCTCTGTCCAAGTTAGAGAAAAGGTTTCCCACGAGTGTCCACCCAGCTTGTCTTTAGGTCGGTGATTCTCAATCCTGGCTACACATGAGGAATCACCTGGGAGCTGAGAAACATCTGCTCCATCTCCAGGGACTCTGATTTAATTGATCTGGGTAGTACCCAAGGCAGCCGTACTTTTTCCTGATTCCTCAGATAATTCCTATGTGCAGCCAGAATTGAGAGGCACCACCCTAAAACAATGTCTTACTCACCACCTACTCATTCATCAAAGATTTGACGACTCTGCAATCAGTTATGCTATATCTATATTATTTTCAACTTTAACTTTTAAGGGGTAAGTAACCAACTGTGCTTGTTCATAACATTTTATTTTTTTATTTAAACTAGTTCATTCAAGAAGTAATTTCTAGTGTATTTCCCCCTCATTTAAACAGCGGCTGGCATATAATCAAAATGCAATAAAGTATAGCTATCATCACTTTTTTCATTGCTGTTACGACCTTAAATGAAGTGATCTTTAACAACTTATGATTCTCTTAACCGTTGCATTTTATAATCTACATTTGGTTGAGTCTCAAGTGATTGATGCAAATATGTTTGTCCCCAGGACATCATCTCTCCCCAAGCAGACCCAAAATCAGGGATCTTCCTTTTACTCGGAACAACCTAGCTCCCCTACCAGACCAAAAATGTAAGTACTATGAATCTACCTCAGCTTTCTTTGCAAATGCTGACATGTCTAGACCCAAATAAATGTTATTTCAGTTTACTTTCATTTTCTAAGGAAACATCAGGTGCCAACACTTATAAATTACAGGAAAATAGAGGACGGTCTTTAAAGCTTCATCCAACTTGGTAATGCTTATTAAAAATAAATAAATAAAAAGAATACTCCCTTTGGGAACTTTTGTGTTTGAACTATAAAAACAATATCAAGTTTATTTTGCTATGTATTATTTAATGTGCTAAGAAACTGCTTTAAAAATTCTTAAGACTGGCCTCTTGACATTGATTTCCTTACCATGTTGGATAGAGAGAAATGTACATCATCTCTGTACTTACAGTTCCTGCATTGCTAAGCAAAAGAAAAAAAAATGCTGTTCATTAGGATTATTTATGTATTATTGATTTATAATATTTTATATAAAAATCTCTAAGATAAGATGTTAATATATTCTTTGGGGCCAATGATATTCAGACTACAGCGTACTTAAGTATCACCCGGGAGGCCTCACACCCAGGGATTCTGAGTTTGGATATCCTTATCCTTGTACTCTGAGGCAGGTTTGATTACTGTTTCCATTGCAGAGCCAGAAGCAAAACTACAGAATCTTTTGCCTCATGAAATAATGTTTACTGGATTCTAATTTCTTTCCTTTTTGTCTTCCTGGTTTATCCCACACCCTTCGTAACATACAGACACACACACACAGCTTTTCTACATCCTGTTAGTTGTGGGTGATTTCAGGCAAGGGTCTCAACCCCTCTATTCTTCAGTTTCTTCTCTCTGTCTATAACAGCAGTCCAGTCTGATAAAAATGGTGGGAGAAGGATAGGCACAGTGGCTCACACCTGTAATCCTAGCACTGTGGGAGGCCCAGGTGGGTGGACTGTTTGAGTGCAGGAGTTGGAGACCAGCCTGAGCAAGAACAAGACCTTGTCTCTACTAAAAATATAAAATTAGCTGGGCATGGTGGCCCACACCTGTAGTCCTGGGTACTTGGGAGGCTGAGGCAAGAGGATTGCTCAAGCCCAAAGTTCGAGATTGCTGTGAGCTAAGATGATACCACAGCACTCTACACAAGGCAACAAAGTAAGACTCTGTCTCAAAAAAAAAAAAAGAAAAAAACAGGGGAGGGGACAATTAAATAATGTTTTACATATGTAAGACGCTTGGCACATTGTTTGCACAGAATAAATATCCAATGCGTCTCTTCTTCCTGGGCTAAGGTTTGAAGGGGACAAACCTAGAGATCTAAAACCCTTTCAATAAAAGCAGGGAGCCATAGGGTTCATAGAACCACAGCCCTGTCCTTTCGCAAATAAGAAAATTAAGAGGTGGAGGGATAAGGCCAAAGCCACACAGAGAGTCAGTAGCAGAAATCAAGACCTCTGCTTGACAGATCAGTTCCTCTTCCCTTTACTGATTGTGTAAAGTGAGCGCTTTGGATGGTGTCAATTCTATCCTTGAGTGAAATTCAGGCCTGAACCTGGTTTTAAGCAGAACCATAGCCACTAAGAAATCTAGTGAAGGAAAGAGTCACTCTGTCTTGAATCCTGCTGGGACTTGGAAAAGCCAAAGAAGGGAGGTTTTCTTTGGCAGGGCCAGAGAGCTTTGCTTTTCACAATTAAGTTTCAGGACAGAAGGAAAGATAAACATCTTTGTTCAACTTAGCTTTATGAGAAAGAAATGAAAGGGCACACAATGCCTTTGCTAAAAGAAACCCGAGAACCTTTTGAGGTTTGCATAAAAGCACAGCACAAATGGCTTGGGCTTGTTCAGAGCCTGTGAGCAGTGGCTGAGCAGGGTACCTGCTCCACCCCCAGGAACAGCTCCGCCAGGCACACACAGCCCAGTCATGTTTTGATCAAACATGGTGCAGCCTTGTACTCGTGCATATTTGAAATCCCAGCCTCAAGTGCAAACCTGGGCAGACAGGTATACATACACAGCTTCCCTCCGCAGCCCAGCTCTCACTAGACACGCTTCTTAGAAGTGTCTCTGCTCCTCAGAAAACAATACACCTCTCCTGCCACCTTTCTCATGAGCTTTAAAGGAATCTTGAAAGAAATCTTGAAAGTCTCTCATTCTGTATTTTTCTCTCCCCAGTTCTCTCTGGAGAACCTCTACGGACAAACCGAGTGCTACCTGCTATCCCAAGTCAGCGGGGACACGGCACACCAGCTGAAGGCAGTGAGCCCTCTGCCAGTCCCTCAAGGGATGAAAACTGACTGTGATTATATATATATTTTCAATTCTCAGAGGATGAGATGGCTCATTTATAAAAATAAAGACTGTAGTCAACTACATTCTATAAGCCATTCAGTTTTATAACTCAAAAAGAATAAAAAATTCTTTATTCCAAGTAAAGATACTTCCTAAATAAGCACTTGGAATCTTTGAATGTGCACACACTAGAGGTCTGTGAGTTTCTGTGACCTCTACATGCCAAAATTAAAAGACAAACTGTGTTGCCAGCTGGGAAACTTTGCTAGGTTTGGTTCCCTCTGTGCCATATTTGCTGTTTCTTGTCATTGTTCGGTTGTTTTTTGCTGAATGACTTTATGTTTTGGGGGGGGGGAATGTATGCTTTGCTGAATAAAAAACAAAAGTACATTCCAGACACGTTCTTCACATTTATTGTAATTCTACCTTGGACTAATGAAACTTAATTCACACGAAAGCAATCATACCTAGAATCAGTCACAGTTCATGGCTTTGAAATGTACAATCCTCTGAAAAATATTTTCTGACATTGTGAGTTCCTGGCTACAGCCCAAGTCACTTGACAATGTTTATCTGCTCTTTGTTATTTGATTATTTCCACCTGCTGTCAGTTTCAGATATTGATTGTTCTAACAGGGAGAAGGTCAAGTAAGTCAGAAAGGTCTACCCTGGCCTCAGGTGATTGAATAGATGTTTCTCATACATTCCTCAAATACGCTACATGTTTATTTTTTCCATTTCAAAATAATGGTCTCTGCCTACTGAAGACTTTCCCAAACTTAAGACTTAGCCAAGCTTTGAAAGACTACTATTAACTGTATATTTCCTTACTAAGATGTTTGTATGTTGTTTGGATTGATTTTTGACTAGAGATCTGTATAAAGTTCAAGGCTTAATAAGATAATGATGGCTCCATGTTTTTTTCTAAGCCTGCATATTTTGTAAATATCTCAAGTTCCCGTATAACATTTAACCACTTTATATTAGTATTATTTGTTTTGAGAGGTCAGACTCTACCACTAAGTAGATAGAAGCTCTTCTGGGACCAAATCATAATTCTTTGGGTTTGCACTTCTAGAAATGTGTATGGTACCTGGCACCAAGTAGACACTCAATCTTTTTTTCAGGAAGGAAGGAAGGGAAGGGAGTTGAGAGGTAGAGAGGGAGTTGGAAAGGGAGAGAGATGTAAGATGTGATAATGAAACAGGTCACAGTTCATAATCCCATTTGGATGTTGACAATAGTCCAAATCAGCGATTATAAAAGAGAAAGATTATGGATCAACCTCCCAAGCTAGCAGCAGCTAGAAGGAGAGCAAATCATGTTGAAGATGGGAGAGCTCTTGGGACACAGCTTCTGAAGAGTTTTCTTCTGTGTTTCATTTAGCTTGTGGACTGTTTTTTTTATCTTTGAAGAATCATTCTCTATATGCATCCGATTGTTCAGCTGTTCAGTTGTGTCAGCACGCTGCTTCTAAATCCATGTCCACCCACAAGTAGATACCTGGCCTCCACTGCCTAGATTAGTCAGGATAGGCTAGCTTCTACTTCAGTAATGAACAAGGCCAACTCTCTTAGGCTGACACAGCCTATTTCTTATTCACAATATGTTGAATTGTATTCAATGCCAGCTGACAGAATTTCAGAATTTAGACTCCATTTTGGTATGTGCTTCCTTGGTGACAAAGCAGAATAAATGAGAGGTAAGTCTTATCATGTCCTCTCACACTTCATTTGCCAAATCATACGGACTTCAAAGGAAGTAGAGAAATGTAATCCTTCTATGTGTCTGAAAAGGGGAGAATCAGAACACTTATAAATTATCCAATGTATTGCCACACTAACCTACGTGCAGGTCCTAAGTGACTATTTAAGACACTAGTACACCTCTCCTGTAAGTGGATAACTAAGAGGTCAAAGCAATGTAAGAACAAAGGTGTGCAGCTCTAGAAAAAGCCACTATCCCCTCACACCTGCACTTACTTCTACAATAAATAATTTATACACAAATGCCCACGCAGAATATTCTAATGTTGGGCTTTTTCCAATTTGATTTAGGAATTTCTTTTGTTTTTAGCTATGAAGAAATATGATACTCATCACCATCTCTATAAATAGAGCAGCTGTTCTTTTGCCACCAGGTCAATTTGCTTATTTAGAGTAGATTCATCCTGGGCCAATATTTCACTGACAAAGTAAGGGACCCTCTGCAGTGCCATCCAGGAATGCAAACGTAACTGTTAATGTTGTTTTCCCTCTACTTTTTGAAATATACCAATGCACATCTCCACACAAGTGTATCTTGGCATTTTAAAGGTACGCTTTGTACCTTTCAAACCCACCTTCTCAAACCCACCATAGCTTTAAACGGGGTAACTAAAACGGAACATAGTTAAGGTTGTCATAAAAGATGATACCCAAGCTAAAAACTAAGGAACACAATAGCAGCTTTCACGTGTAGTAACTAGATTCTAATTATCTTCAGGGGGGAAATGATATTTTCAAATCAGGAAATTCTATCCGAATCGCATATTTCCTAGACTCTGCCAAGGAAATGTAAATACTGGAAGATAAACACTCAAAAACCTGTTCATTTTTGTCAAAACTCTGATCTTTGAAAGCAAATGCCTTCCCACTTTGACCTCTGGTCTAGTCTAACCCTGTTGTTTTTTGGGCAGCTGAATGAGTTCCAAGACATCCTCAGAGGTCAAATCTGGGAAGTCAGTGAATAGATTTTATCAAAAGCTGAAGAGTTTCCAGTCAGCATGTTGTGCTAGCACAACTGTCACTATAGGGACAAAGGTAGTTTTCACACTGATATATAAAAAACAGGAAATAACTCATTGATTATTAAACCTCCCGTAAAAATTAATGGTACATCACTTTGCAATTACTAGTGGTCTACAAACTAGAGAAAATGAGAACAAGAAAGACTCTCAGTTCCCCGAGGAAGGTGAGGTAGAACCTAACTGGTTGCTGGTAAAGATAGGATGCTGAAGTTTGTGGAGACTGGGGCCGGCTGTAAAATGGTAAAGGGGGCGGAGGGTAAAGAAGCCTGAAATTGGCCCTACATGGGCAGTGAACTCAAGACCTGAACACAGATACAAAAAGGTGACCATGAGCAACACGTCTGTGCACTGAAAGTGAAGCTGGGCTGGTTCTTACAAAGTCTTAACCACACTGGTTAGGTAGAAGGGAAACCTAAGCGTTGGCACCACTGACTATTCTTTCTGATAAAGCTACTTCACGTTGATTTGACCTCATGTCTTCATCAGCAGGTCTACCTGGGAAAGGAGAGCCAACTGTGAGGCTGAAGGGAGTGGGGAGAACGGGGGATGCTGAAAGCCAATCCTTTCACCAGCCAGGCCTACACCTAGTCAGGGCCACTCTCTGCCCAACCCAGGAGTGTGGCTTAGCGTCTCTCAGGATGGCGGGGCAGCAGGACCAGCGTCCAGCAGTTTTCCCTTATGGTAATTGCCCCAGCAGAAAGTAGAAAGGTATTGACTGTACTCCCAAGGCACCGTGTTTTAATGGATTATCCATTACTTTCTCTCCCGTCATTCAAATCCTTTTAACACAACTATTTACAAGAAGCAAAACAAACTGATTTTTATGTCTCCATTTTTCTTAACCACTTACCCTTCCTGTGGGTGTGTCACGAACTCTGGAAGGGAGAGAAGGCAGGAAAGAGGCCTGGAAGACCTACCAACTTTCAGAACAGTTCCCCAATTGCATTGAATTGGCTGTACAGAGCATAGATCCAAATACGTGTGGGTATAAAGCATTGAACAGAAGTAAAAACGATCACTCCCATACTGTGTTTTCAGTGGGACGCTAGTTCTAATGAAAGCTGCATAGAACAGGTAAAGAAGCTTCTCCAGCGCGTTTTATCCTCCACGTTTGAATGTTAACTTTACAGACTATCTTAAAATCATAATTAATTTAATAAAATGTAATGCTTTGCTCTGATTTTTTTTGTTAACTTTAACATTTAACCATCATGAATGTATGAATAATTGTTTCTCCATTAAATTTAATCTGGAGAACGTGTCTTCTTGACAATTTTTTAAGAGAAAAACTGAAGCAGGTGGCAAAGAAGAATGACCACGTGGATCGGGAAGGCGTACATTTTTATAACATATGCCAGCCCTTCTACCACGGCTAATGTCCTTTCTAATGAAAAGAAAAATACTTGTTCATGATGACTTTAATCCTTTAATTAAAAATGCCATAAAAAGTAGTGGCGGAGACCAGCAAAAGAAATGACTTCAGGAGTCTTTGACAAATCTGTTCTCTTGTTCTCATTTACCATTTCTCTTCTGCTGCTAACTCTCCTTTCTCCAAGTAAAGATTGATTTTTTTTTTAAAGCAACAGCATTGTGAACCCCGACTGTGTATACTAATCTGTGTGAGAGAGCTGAAGTTATCAATAAAAGAAAATGCCTGTTCTCAGAAAGCTCTCCAGATTGCATTGTAACAGATAAGACAACTGCCCAAACTGTCAATTACCTCTGGTCCTATTTTCTGACTCTGTCCCCTTGGTATCCCAGAGACCGCACACAGCCTGACTTCCAATCACCGGGACTGCTGTTGCTAATGGCCTTGATTTCCCCGGGTGTCATCCCCTGTGAGAATTGATGCAACATAAGGGAAAACAGAAAATCAGAAGGGAACACTCCACTTAATTTAGAGCGATTCTTTCAATGTGCCATAAAGTCGAGGGTTCATTAAGAGGAAGTTTTCAGGAGTATTTGGCAGCGGCAGCGGAGGGGGAAATGGAGGCCACAGGGTGGGGCGTGAATAAAAGCGACTTTTACAGCCGGAGGGTGCGTGATGGAGCAGAGAGAAATAAAAATCAGGAACGGAAACAACACACAAACTTGCAGCAAAGAAGGAAACAGGAAAGAAAAGGAGAAGCAGATGGAGGAGCTTGAACACCAAAAATAAGAATAATAGTAATAATATTACTATTTGTAGCTGAAGTCCTAAATGAGGAAAAGGAGAAA